TTATTTAGCTATTAAATAGCAGAATCAGGATTCTAACAGTTTTCACATGGCTTAATTACTTAACTATGAAATAAATGTGGGCTTATAGATACGGAGTTTTCGTTAAATGAAAATTGATTGGCCAGCTAACATGAGAGCATTAAATATATTTAAACCTCAGTAAACATAACTGAAGAATAAATGCCCTACTCTTCTTACCTTCCAAGAGGAATATAAGCACAAAAGCTCTGCTGAAAGACATGCAGGACCTACTTTGTCCACATTCTCTCTATAGTAGTAGTGAAAATGGCCATGTGCTTTCCAGATATAACCAGTTTTATATTAACAAATGAGAGAATTGTCTACCATTTGACAATTTTGAAGATTCCCAATTTTTAACTTAATAAAAATATCCATAAATAGTTCCCTTCAGCCTTTTCTTTCCACTTCTCTGATGGCTCCAGGCAACTTAATTCTTTAAAACCAGAAAACAGCTTGACTAAAATGAAAGTTCTTCATGTGTATATGCTTCCAGTGTTGACTGTTTTATGTCAGTTATGCATGAATGACCACATTTATGTTTATGCCGCTTATCAATAGGTGACTTCCTGTCTCTTCAAGTACTAAAGCTAAGGGTTCTTAATTCTTCTTTTTATGTCCTGTTTTTAAATAATCAAGCTTTTATCTGTCATTTGTAAAATAATAAAATAGAAAATACTTATATATTTCTTACTTTGGACCAACTACTGATCTAAGTATTTTAACTATAGTAATACATTTAATTCTCCCATGAACCTGTATAAAAATACTTATTGTCCTCATTGGGATAAGAAAACTGAAGCACAGTGAGGTTAAGAAACATACCCAAGGAGGCGAGTAAGTAGCAGAGCTGGGAGCCCAAAGCAGAAGTCTGAATACAGATGACCTTTTTAATTCTTTCTACACAATACTGCCAGAATCATGGTTCTGAATGAGTGACCTGGCCCTTTTTCTACAAGATTGGAGTCCCCTTTAAAAATGTTTCTATTCTCCTTTTCCTAATACCCTTGACATAACATTTATTAATTGATAGTAAAGTTCCTTTAAGCCCTTTGATTCCCAGGTTTTTCCTTCTCATTGCAGAGGTCTTAGCTTCCATTTGTTACATCATTTCCTTTAACTTCTCCTATCATTACTCTTAGGAGCCCTGGTAGCGTAGTGCCTAAGTCACTTGACTGCTAACCAGAAGGCTGGCAGTTCAAACCCACCAGCCACTCCTCAGAAGGAAGGTTGAACAAACTACTTACATAGTGATACCACCTCGGAAACCCAAGGAGGGGTCGTTATGAGTCAGGTCTGACTCGATGGCACATAACAACATCATTATTCTTAATTGGCCAGCTAGGAAGCTTGTAGGAGAGATCCATGGAAAACTTGAGGTTTCAGGGCTGTGTGGTGCCTCTGAATGCTATTTGCCTGATGGGGTAATATTGAACAAGTTTTCTTCTTCTCACTTCAGCTTCCTTATCTCTAGAATGGAGATACATACAGTACTTACCTCATAAAATGCTCATTTTTTGACCAGTGCCATAAAGGAAAAAAAATAATAAGCTGTATGTATGTGTGTATGATGGAAGGTTCCAAATATTATGGAGAATCAAGGAATGATTTTGACTAGCATTCCCAATGAGGACAATAAGTATTTTTATACAAGTTCATGGGAAGATTAAATGTATTACTATAGTTAAAATACTTAGATCAGTAGTTGGTCCAAAGTAAGAAATACATAAGTATATATAAGATTTTGACTAGGGATGGATAGAAGGATGCCCAGCAAAATCTTTGTACAGTGTTGTGAATAAAGAACAATGTCTATAAAGCAGTTAACATAATGCAAGACACAAGGCAAGTGTCCAGTGAACTTTAGGCATGACCTATTTTTATTATGTCATTCAACATTTGATAAATATCCAAGAGGAGAGCAGAACAGTCCAGGGTGAGTGAAGGGACCTGGGGAAGTAATATTATATCAAACAAGTACCAAGGGGTACCAGATAAATGAAAAGTTTATTTGGAAATAATATGCAGAAAGGAACAGAAAACTTGCTGTTCTTCTAGCTAGTCTATACTTTATGAGAACAGCTGACACCTATTCAGAAAGTACCCAATTTCTTGCTGTTAGGCACCCTGGTGATATCACAAACTATCTTACTTCATATGTTCTTCACATAAAAAGTACTCAGGCCTGTTTTCTCTTTCAAAAAATCACTTGTCTGAAATCACTTCAAAGTGTGTTGAGATCTGATACTCCTAGAAGAGATCTTGGACCATGCTAGAAAACACATTAGTGTCAATAAATTTTCTTACAAATGTTACATTTTGCAGGAAGATGCTAATTTTAATATTTAACTGGTTTAAACTTCTATCCAAGAGATATATATTGTCCCCATTTACCACTTTTAACTTAATCTTTACCAGTTGTCTAAAAAGGAATGCTTGCTTATAAATTAATTAGCTCAATGAATCACCCAGTTTTCCTGTCATACCAGGATGCTAAATTGCTCTAACTACAACCCCCACCTCTTGAGTTAATCACATTTCACCCTTTGATTCCTCTGATGCTTTGTAGTTCTCTGAAGTTTAACCAAGTATGTAGAGAGAGCCCCTGTTTTGTGTCTCCTTTTTTCCCCTACAGCATGGGAATTAAGTTCATGTTTAACATCATTTTATTTAATTCATTTAATTAACACCAGGTTAGGAGCTCTGGCAGCATAGTCCCTGAGGCACCTGACTGCTAACCAGAAAGCTGGAGGTTTCAAACCCACTAGTCACTTCTTAGAAGGAAGGTTGGACAGTCTACTTCCATAGTGATACCGTCTGGGAAACCCAAGGAAGGGTCGCTATGACTCCAGGGCACATAACAACAACAACATTTACCAGGTTACTGTCTTAAACTAGGAGAAGCTGCAAAGATTAAAATAGAGCTCCTTGCTAGAGGAACTAACTCTAGATGTGGTGACTGATATGTAATCAATTACAAAACAGTGAGATAAAACTACTGAGCATATTAATAGTAGGAGCTAGTGACTACAGAATAGGAGAAAATGGAAAAGATGACATTTGACATGGCTCTTGAAGAATGAGTACGTTTCCTAAAATTTCAGGCTGAGGAACCATCACTGCAAAGGCATAGTATAACATTAGTTCTGCATATAGGTCTGGAGGCTAGAAGTAAAGAGTACTTGGTAGTTTGGGGTCATCTTAAGCTTTGTATATCAACCTAAGGCATTTGGGCTCAGGGTAGTCAAGAGCCACAAAAAGGTTTTGAATAAAGAAATAGCATCATACTTTGGTCTTAAGTAAGACAATTTTAAGTAAGCTACAAAGAAAGGTATGTGGAGTTAATAAATCAAAACCTCAAGTACCTCAGGTAAGAACTTCAAGTAGAATGCCCAGGCTTCTAGGTTGATCTTCTAGGTGTAGGGTAATGTCTGTAATTGTGAAAGTGCATCTAAGCTGCACTGTTCAGTATCATTGTAACTAGGCATACATGGCTGTTTAAATTTAAATTACTATTAAATAACAGTAAAAATTCAGTTCCTATGTCACATGAGCCACATTTCAAGTGCTGAGAAGCCACATGTGGCCATTGGCTACTTTTTTAACAGTACAGAACAGCAAGTATTTCCATCATCTCAGAAAGTTCTATTAAATATTACTGGTCTGGGGAAATAGAACGTGGTGCAACACATGAACATGGCTGTCAGATGAGGATCGGTTGAAGGGTAGCCATTATGCATGGTGTGTAGGTGAGATCTTTCAGAGGAACATGTTTTTAAAAAGTTAGCATAAGGGAAACTCTGAAAATACTCAGGGTATAGGAGATGTAGAGGAATGAGAGCTGGCATGGGAAACTAGCTTAAAGGACGGGGCCAGTGAAGATGAAGACAAGACTGGTGATTCAGAGCAAGAACAATTTCAGTGTAGAGTGTGTTGACTAGTGAATGTGGAGACAGTAGAATATTTGAGACTTTTTAAAGAAGTATTGTTATGCTTTAAGGTAATTTTAAAAAAAAAAAAAAGATCACAAGCTTGTTTGTAGATTAGGGGAGAGAGCCTACAGAAGAAGGAAGCTTTGTTTGGCCAAATTTTGAATAAAGGAAAATGTATCCTGGGGAGAATCCGAATTACATTTGCTTTAAAAAAGGAAAGGATGATGGGAGAATTTACTCTGTAAATCTTCACCCAAATCCTGATAAATTAAAAAAAAAAAAAAGATCACAAGCTTGTTTGTAGATTAGGGGAGAGAGCCTACAGAAGAAGGAAGCTTTGTTTGCCCAAATTTTGAATAAAGGAAAATGTATCCTGGGGAGAATCCGAATTACATTTGCTTTAAAAAAGGAAAGGATGATGGGAAGAGTGAGGAATAAAGGAGGGAAGTTAAAGGAATTCACACCTGATAACCTTATCTTTTGCTTTTTTCTTCTGTGTAGAGAAATGGGAGAAAAGAGATAGGAGTGATTAAGATTTCTTCTGTGTAGAGAAATGGGAGAAAAGAGATAGGAGTGATTAAGATTTGGAACCACTGCTTTAAGGAAAAAGAACTACTAACAGTCATGGCATTCCAAATCCTAGATGAGGTTAGAATCCATAAATTACAGTGGTACCAATTTACTGGTATGATTTTCTACGGTAGTACTGCAGGGAAGTTAAATTAGTAAAGACTTGAGGACTGGCTGAACAAAAAGAATCAAAAGGATGGGTAACCTCGCTACTAGCTTGCAAACTCTTTCAGGGTATGAACTCTCTCACATGGTTCAAACAGAATTGTTTCACCTTTCATCTTTCCAGACTAAATTATTTGTGGGGTTTTTTTTCTGTTTTTCCTTTGTATTTACAATAAATAATTGGATTTTTGTCCTTTGTGGGGAGGAGTTGCTTTGGAAAATCTTAACTAAGAGGAAGTTAATTTGGCTTTCTAGATTTCCATTGTTTAGTTATCTACTTTATAAGTAATGTTTTGTTTTTTTTTTAATCAATAGGTTTTCAGAAACACTCTGTATCCACAAGATTATTCATCTCGTTTAGATACTGTAAGAGCAAATTCAAAGTCACCTCTTCAGACATCGCTGTCAGCTAAGTGTGTATCTGGAACAGGACAGGTGAGCTAAAAGCAGTAATTGAAAGAATTTATGCTCTTATCTTTGGAATTGTTCAGGAGTTACAATGTTCCCTTCAGCTATAATCACCTCATGTAACTTAATGCTCTTTGGGCCTGTTTCCTCTCCTGTAAAATGAAGGTGATACTAGGTGCAGTTCTAATAAGATGTTATTTCTTACATTAAGTATAATTTATACTATAATCACGTTACTTTCCAAAGCCACTTGAGAACAGAGGTAGAAAGGACAGGAGAATGTTAAGATTATTCTCTGGTAGAATATGAAGAGCACAGATTCTTAAGTCAGACTGCTTAGGTTTAAATCCCAGCTCTGGTACCACAGTGGCTAAAGCACTTGACTGCTAACCAGAAGGCTGGAGGTTCAAACCCACCAGCCACTCCTCAGAAGGAAGGTTGGGCAATCTACTTCCGTAGTGATACCACCTCGGAAACCCAAGGAGGGGTCGCTATGAGTCGGGGCCGACTCGACGGCAAAAACAACAACAACAAAAAATCATGACTTAGGGAGCTCTGGTGGCATAGTGCCTAAGGCGTTTTACTGCTAACCAGAAGGCTGGAGGTTCAAACCCACCAGCCACTCCTCAGAAGGAAGGTTGGGCAATCTACTTCCGTAGTGATACCACCTCGGAAACCCAAGGAGGGTCTCTATGAGTCAGATCCGACTCAGTGGCACGTAACAACCACCACCACCACCACCATAGATACCCAGATACCCAAAGCACAGATCTTTAGAGAAAAATCTAATTGTCTCCTTTTTCCTATCTCCAGAAAGCATGATTTCTAGAGCAAGGGTCAACAACCTTTTTCTGTTAGGGATTGTCGTCGTTGTTGTGTGTTACGAGTCAGACCTGACTCATGGCCACCCCTCCTTGGGTTGCTGAGGCAGTATCACTATGGAAGTAGATTGCCCAACCTTTCTTTCGAGTGGCTGGTGGGTTTCAACCGCCAGCCTTCTTATTAGCATTCAAGTGCCTTAGGCACTATGCTGCCAGAGGCTTTGCAACCCATACAGTCTGTCACTATTAAGAGCAGACATAGACATTAATCAGTATGATGGTGTTCAAGTAAAACATTTATGATAACAGAAGGCAGACAGGATTTTGCCCAAGGGCCTTAGCTTGCTTAACTCTTGATCTCTACAGAGCTATGGCCTTTTCATATCTGTTGTTGTTAGGTGCCACTGAGCTCCCTATGGGAGCTTTGATGACATAATGGTTAAAGCATTTGGTTGCTAACCAAAAAGTTGGTGGTTCACACTCAACAGCTGCTCCATAGGAGAAAGATGAGGTAGTCAGCTTCTGTAAAGATTTACAGCCTTGGAAACTGTGGGGCAGTTTTATTCTGTCCTGTAGGGTGGCTATGAGTCAGAATTAACTCAATGGCAGTGGCTTTGGTGGGTTTGGGTACTGTCCTCTAAGGACATATAAAAGATATGTCAAGCATATAAAAATACTCGTTTCTTACAAAAACCGGTGTTAACTTTTAACAGGTATCATCTACCTGTCGACTAAGAAAGGATCATCAAGTAGATGAAGATGATGATGATGATGATGATGAAGAATTAGATATTACAGAAGAAAATTAATTTTCTTAAATACCTTCACATTCCTACTTTCATCTTAAAATGACTCAGAATCCAGGATTAGCAAATTGCGAAACATTATACTAGCTTGATACATCTCAAAATGAAATGCTACTGGAAATGTAAAAATAATTAAAATTTATGCCAATCTAAAATGAGGGTTTTAAAAAAAAAATACACACCAGTCATTCCAGTACCCTTACCTATCAGTATGTGATCATTCTGTATAAGTTCCTTATTTTTTTAAAAGATTATATATTTCAAAGGATTTCATATCAATGTACTATACTGATAGAGGCTGCTGTAAGCAGGTGACAAGAACCAAAAGATCTAATAATTCCACCTAGCTTTTTCAGGTTATGACTCCATGCTTTCATCACTAGAAAAGCCACCTCTCTTTTCAAGTCATTCTGGTTAGTCTATTCTGTAAAGCTTTAAATAAAAAAGACAAGTTTTCTTTTTTTTTTTTTTTTAACCTTTACTAGAATCTGAAATTTCATCATTTGATCTATAAATTTACCTTTCAACAACAGTGGAATTAAACACAATTTTAAAAAAAGGAGGGGGAGAGGGAGAACACCAATATACTAGTGCTTTGAAAATAAGCATAAAGTATATATTTTAGATTTTTTTTTTAAAGTCCCATTCACCTTGATTGTGGTTTTAAAACTGCTATCAAAAAACAGTATCACATATGCTACAATTTTAGAAAGCTAGTAATGTGATGGATTATTGCCTAAGAAAACCTAAGTATATATGAGAGGTCTTAAATCATTAAAAATTCTATAAAAATTTTACCTAGTGACCATCTAATAAAAGGATATAGTCACTTATTCTTGAAAATAGAATTTAATAACTCTTTATGTATGGCTGATGCTTTTGTTTCTTACAGTGGGAGATTATAATTTTGATATTTCATAGATTCCAGTCAGGCATTTAAAAATTATGATTTATGAACTTGTTCAGGATAACCTGAAAAATACTTTATAGAAAGCTTTTTGACTGTCACTAATGGTTCTTAACAAAGCGCTGCTTGCTCCCTGAAAATAAACCTAAGTGATAAACTGACTTAAGTTCTTTTTTTAGTAAAATATTCAAAATATTTTAAAACCCTAAATGATATTCTTAAGGTGCTAAGAAGATCATTGCATTTTTATTGATCGCATTTTTTACTATTTCTCGCCCAGTATTTAAGTTTGATGTTATAGTTGGGGGGGGGGGGAGAACTGCTTTAGTATTTTACTACTGTGGTGATTAAGTTTGTGTCAACCTGGCTGGGCCTGGTTGAGTGGCTGGGCAGCTGGTGGCAGTTATTCCCCATGATGAGACTGGCAGTCACCTCCATGGTAGGTCCTACCACAGGCAGCTCAGTAGCTGCTTTAGGGATGTAGTAAGAAACAGCTTTGGGAATGGTCGCTAGCTTATGGCACACTTGAACCCTGCATATAGCCGTCGTCGTTCAGCAGCCTGCCATGCTGTGCCGACCTTGGGACTTTCAAGGGACTTGAATTTAAGGCCTGCCATGTGGTTTTGGTAACATCAGGACTGTGCCTTTTCACTTGTCAAGCTTGGGTTTGTCAGCCTCAGTAGCTAGCAGTTGCCTGAATAGAGAGATGCCTCTAGTTTCAGTGGGCCGGAAGCAAGAGGCAGAGCTGAAGTCCAAGGTTGAGGGGTTTTCACACAGCCCCTAGAGCCTGGCCCTTGGAACTCAGACTTCTAGCCTCCTGAACTGTAAGAGAATAAACTGTTAAGGCCATCCCATTTGTGGTATATTGTCAGAGTGGCACTTGGTAACCAGAACATACTCAATTCTGTAAAGCTAAGACAGTGCCTGACATACTAAGCAATCACAAATAACTGAAAAAGTATGCTTTGCCTATCTCAAAAAATTATGTTAAAGACAAAAGAAAAATGGGCAGGGAGGGAAAAGAGATGGATAGTAAGTAAGTTTGATAAGGGTGAAGGGAAAAGTAATATAACAAAAGCATGTGACTAGCACAATATCACTAAGGAAAAAGAAGATACAGAGGAACAAACAATAAAGGCAAATACTACTGCGGACACAATACTGCGTTATCAGTAACAGCAAACACTAATCTATGGATGTACACATAGGTAGATAAGGACAGGCAAACAGGAATATACCCATGACCATACATGTTTGGCATTCTATATATATATTTGTATGTGCTATAAAAATGTGCATATGCAGTTTAAACATAAGATGCAGCAAAGTGAGGGTAACTTTTTAGGGACAAACAAGCACCTTGATGGCACAGATCACTGGGCTTATGGGCTGGGGACCACGGTAATCAAACTCAATTGTGCATAACATGGTATACAAAAATACTGTTCTACATCTTACTTCAGTGAGTAGTGACTGGGGTCTTAAAAGCTTGTGAGCAGACATCTAAGTGACAACTGTTGGTCTCTTCTTGACTGGAGTAAAGATGAGTGAAGACAATCAAAGATGGATGGAAACAATCCAAAGGACTCATGGACCATGAAAGCCTCAACCTATATGACCCAGAGACCAGAGCTTGGTAACGCCTGGCTACCAATCCCAACCACTCATTAAGGGATCAAAATTGGAAATCCAAAGTATAACCTGAGTTCTGTGTCACCACTGTAATGGATCATCAAACCTGGCAGCGAAGACTCCCATAGGATAACAGCTGGTGTCAAGAATTGGTAAAAAAATAAATACTGCAAAGGTGTATCTGACTTCCATAAGATCACTTTGGCTCATTTTTATTCTCATTACTGCCTTTAAGTTAGATAGGTTCTACTAGTACTGACACCAATTTACAATCATAAATATTTCGTAACATTGAATGAAGTTATCTAATGCAAAAATGAAGATTGCAAGAGCACTTGCTTAACAGGTGATACATGGACAGACTCACTGCCCTGGAAAATACTCTCTCCATGTGAGTGGTAAAAAGAGCATTCCTAATATGATTCTTACCTTTCTCTTTGTTATGGGTTATCTAGACATCTGTAGTTTGCAGATACCTTTTAGACAGAAGTACTGTGTTTGCTGTAAAACCATTAAAATACCATCAGGTATCACACTAAGAAAAACCCAGCTGCCAAGTCGACTCTGACTCATGGCAACCCCATGTATTTCAGAGTAAACTGTGCTCCATAGGATTTTCAATGGCTGGTTTTTCAGAAGTAAATTGCCTGGCCTTTCTTCCAAGGCTCCTTAATATACCAGGATCTCCAAGCTTTCAGTTAGAAGTCAAACACTGTGGTGCAGATACTACTTGGGGCAGCTCTTACAGCCATGGTCTTTGTGACTTCAACCAGATGACTGGGTGGGCCTATGCAAATGTGAAGTGTCTATGGTCCACTAAAGGGATGCCTAAGGCACTTGACTGCTCACCAGAAGGCTGGCGGTTCAAACCCACCAGCCACTCCTCCTCGGAAGGAAGGTTGGGCAATCCTACTTCCATAGTGATACTGCCTCGGAAACCCAAGGAGGGGTCGCTATGAGTCGGGCCGACTCGACGGCTAACAACAACAGATTGTTAGTAAATAAAGAAAACAGCACTCTTGTCAGGAGGGGACCATGAAAATAAGGTGTATGGAACCCTACTGTTGAGGTGCTTAGTATAATTCTGGTTAAAAATAAGCCCTCCTAGGGTCAGAAAGGGGATCTCATTGCCATCGAAAAAGAACCAGAGGTGGACTGAAGCGCATCCTTAGACCCAAGATGCCTACACTAGACCTTGACAGTGGGCAGAGACAACCTGCAGAGGCACAGAGCAAGAAAGCTAAGTTCCCTTGGGCAGAAGTTTGCTGGCGGAGTGAGGGGCACCTGTTATGTGCTGTCGAGTCATTCCTCACAGCAACCCCTCCTTGGCTTGCCAAAGCAGTATCGCTACAGAAGTAGATTGCCCAACCTTCCTTCCGAAAAATGGCTGGTGGGTTTGAACTGCCAGCATTCTGGTTAGCAGTCGAGTGCCTTTAGGCACTATGCTACCAGAGCTCCCACCTATGCAGAGCTAAAAGAGCTTTGTGACACTGGCCCAAACAGAGCAGAGGCCAGGCCACAAGGAGGTGAGGCTGTTCTGACTGAAGAATTATATCCTGAACCTGAATTGTATTGCCTGCTGTTTCCCTAATAAACCGCGTGATTGTTGAGTATTGAGTTTTGTGTGGCCATTGCAATGAACTACCAAGCCCAGCATAGCAGTGCCACGGAGGGATGTTTGGTATCAGAGTTGGTAAAAAGGCAGAAGGATGGCAGCATGTCTGGCCTCAGGAATAAAACCCCCTCGTGAAGTTGGAGGGTCAGAGGCTGCTGCCTCTATGCCCTTTTGCAAGCACATTAACTGTGCACCATATAGGGCCTACTTTCTATACTTTTGCAGGTACTTTCTAGACAAGAATGTTTGGTTTCACAGAGAACCAGTCTACCCTAGTCTTAATGTATCTGGTGTTGAGTGAGGAAACAAAACTAGCTGTGAATTACTGAAGCTGGGTAAGGAGTACATGAGAATTTAGTAAACTACTCTCTTCTAAGTTGTGGTGTGCTAGTAAATTGGCTGGGGGTGAGGTGCCCCGATTTGCCAGTTTCCATGGTGTAAATGCTTCTATCAGCCAATTTTATTACTGAAAACAGGAATTAAAAATACAAAGCTTGTATTTATGATTTTATTGTTAGGTGCCACTGAGTGGATTTTGCCTCAGAGATCTGTGACAGAACTGCCATATAGGATTTTCTAGGCTATAATCTTTACGGGAACAGATGATCAGGTCTTTCTCCCGTGGAAATGCTGGATCAGTTCCTTTTGGTTAGCAGCTAATCACTACCAGGGCTTCTATGTGTTTACTATAGCTGTTGTCTTATATACCCGCCACCACCACCCCATCCCATTTGTTTTAGTAGGTTCCATATTAAATGGGATTTGAAGCTTCAGCTTAGCTTTACTGCCATGCACTTGAGAAGTGTGTTCCATACATCCCTCAGGAAGGCTGATGATCCAAGTGATCTAAATCTTTGAACATATAAAAACATGCTTTCTTCCCATTCGTTGTGTTTCATTTAGATATTTCCAGTTTAACATTCCTCCATTTATAAGCTTACTGATTTAAAGAGCCTTATCAAGGAGCTTTACTGAACCCAATTAAGCAGTTTATTCATGCTACTAGTAAAGAGGCTATTCAGAATATTCACTGTAATTAAATTCAAGTTTTATTCTTGTTTGCTCAGTGTGGAGTTAAGTTATCTCTGGATCAAGGAACAGAATGAGCAATTTTGTACTGTGTGAATCAAAAACCAATATAAAATGTCAATGTCCAAGAGAAACCCTGAATGTGTGTGCGCGCGCGCAGATTTAAAAAAAACTCACTGCCGTCAAGTCGATTCCAACTCATAGCGACCACTCCTTGGGTTTCCAAGGCAGTATCTCTATGGAAGGAGACTGCCCTGTCCTCCTTCTGAGGAGTGGCTGGTGGGTTTGAACCACTAGCCTGGTTAGCAGTCAAATGCCTTAGGCACTATGCCACCAGAGCTCCCAGATAGACAGTTACAGGTATTTGTTGTTGTTGTTGTTGTTTGCTGTCGAGTTGGCCCCGACTCATAGCGACCCCTCCTTGGGTTTCTGAGGCAGTATCACTATGGAAGTAGGATTGGCCAACCTTCCTTCCAAGGAGTGGCTGGTGGGTTACAGGTATAGATATAAAAAACTCACTGCCATTGAGTCAATTCTGACTCACAGCGACCCCACAGGGTTTCCAAGACTGTAAATTTTTACAGAGGCAGAAAGCCTCATCTTTCTCCAGCAGAGAAACTGGTGAGTTTGAACTGCCAACATTTTTGTTAGTAGCCCAATGCCTTAACCATACCACCATCATATAAGGCTTTTAAAGTCACCTTGCCTTTTGTTAACCACCTTTGAACATTCTAGTTTTTCTAATGCTATTTTTAAAGCAACAATGGAAGCGAAAGCAATTTACCCATGAAGATATAACTTGGCATTTTTTCACTGAAATTAAAAAACAAAATGAAGCAGCAGAAGTATTAAGCAGTCAGTCTGGGGTGAAAGTGGCTTTGTGATTTACCTGATTTTAGGCATGCTGCTTAACCTCTCTGAACTTCATGATCCCCATCTGTGAAATGATGTAAATAAGCCCTATGCTTCTCAGGGAATATTAAGATTATAATATCAAGATTATAACTGTAAAGTATAACTGTAAAATATTTTGAATTAATTTTGTCAATTTGGTTGATGAGATGTTGAAGAAACCACAGCACTATTCACTATTATTGTAGAATGTTTGGTCCCTCTTATCATAAATATTAACATAGCTGTTGAAAAACTTCTCAACACCCAGCTATAATTTTGTTTTTATACAAATACAAGTTAATTAGATCATCTATTCAGTTGCAATTTTTTATTTTTATAAAACTTTGCAAAGTTATGAACAAGGAAACTTTAAGAATCTCCTAAGCTTTTTACATAAGTAAATGTCAGGTTCACAGGCTGTCCATTTTGAACTATCATATATTTAACAGAAGGCTAAACACAATAATATCCCAGATGGGGAAGAGGGCATTAGGTCTGCAGGCAGGTAGCAATGAAAATGCCAAACCTGAACAATCAGTCACTGACTATTTCTTACACAGTTTGAGCAAAAGATGATGACTACAGAATGGAAAGAAAAGTAAATAAAAAAATTTGTCTTCCCCATATACAAGTCTAGTTTATGCAAATCTTAAAAGGTTTACCCAATACATCATAAGAATGAACTCAAAAAATCAGTTTTCTCCTATTATTAAAGAAAAAAAAAGCATATGTAATTTTAAATTGGAAAGTGAATGGCAATTTGCAAGCAAAAGAAAACCAGATTACAGATTAACATCCTAATATTTACATTTGTTCTATTCACAGTCAAATTAAAATGTTTCTTTTCACTAATTAAAAAATAAACATTTAAAACGCATTTTACTGCATCAATACTGTGGGATGGCATCTCGATTTAGAAATGCTCTCTAGAGCATAATTAACTTAACTTTTCGTGGGCCAACTGGCCTATCATTGAGATCTTTAATAGCAGCCATAGCTTCATTATAGTTTACCATAGTAACAATGGCTTCCCCTATAGGTAATCCTTTCTCATTATACTGTATTGAAACGGAATCTGGTATGACTTTATAGCCATGAAAAAAGTCTAAAATCTCATTAACATTAGCTTTAAATGGAAGATTCATTATCTTAATAGGAGTTGCTCTATCTTGACCACAATTTAATTTTGGATCAGGCATAAATCTTCCCTCAGGAAAACCCCCCATATTACGCTTGCCAAAATCAAACTTGCCACTTTCTGGGCGACCAAAGCTCACAAAAGGGCGGTGACTTCTAAAATCATCAGGCGGGCTTCTAAACTCCTCACCAGGGGGTCTAAAATTATCAGCAAGTCTGGGGTCCTCTTCCATAGCTCCCCTGAAATCCTCCTCAGGGAGCTGTCTGAAATCCTCATCAGAAGGGCACCTGAAGTCTTCCTCCCTGGGGTTCCTAAAGTCCTCGTCAGGAGGGTGCCTGAAGTCTTCATCAGGAGGGCCCCTAAAATCTTCATCTGGTGGGCGCCTGAAATCTTCCTCTCGGGGGCGACGGAAATGCTCCTGAGGTGGCCGCCGGAAATGCTCCTGGGGTGGCCGCCGAAAATGCTCCTGGGGTGGCCGCCGGAAATGCTCCTGGGGTGGCCGCCGGAAATGCTCCTGGGGTGGCCGCCGGAAATGCTCCTGGGATGGACGTCTGAAGTGCTCCTGGGGTGGCCGCCTGAAGTGCTCCTGGTGTGGCCGCCTATAATGCTCCTGAGGTGACCGCCTAAAGTCTTCCTCAGGGGAATGCCTGAAGTCCTCCTCAGGAGGCTGCCTGAAGTCTTCCTCAGGGGGACGCCTGAAGTCATCCTCAGGTGGTCGCCTCCAGTCCTCATCAGGTGGTCGCCTGAAGTCTCCCTCAGGGGGCTGCCTCCAGTCCTCCTTGGGAGGCCGCCGGAAATCCTCCTTGATTGGCCGTCTCCAGTCCTCCTCAGGAGGCCTTCTCCAGTCCTCCTCCCTAGGGTGTCTAAAGTCCTCCTCAGGAGGCCGCCTGAAGTGCTCTTCACGAGGGCGTCTGAAGTCTTCTGAGGAGTGCCTGAAATCCTCTGGGGGGCGCCTGAAGTCTTCTGGAGGACGCCTATCAGGCTGTCTGAAATCTCCCTGAGAATGCTTCCTCACATCCTCTAGTTGAGATCTGAAGTTTTCAGAAGGGCCAACCGAGTATCCTGGTGGCTCTTTGGAGTCAAATGAATGGGAATGGTCATCTCTATCATGTAACTGTGAATGGTCTTGCATTTTCTCACTGGACATCAAGGAAAAATTTACACCAAACTCCTGCATTTGTGCCTCAGATATAACTCTTAACAATACCTCTGTCCCCAAGAATCTTCGCCGGTTTAAACGTTCCGCTTTCATGGCTTGTTCTTCTGATCTAAATTTCACCAATGCTTCTCCCAAACCAACTCCCTTGTCATCATAAAGCAAGTAAATGTCATCCTCCTCAAGAGAGAAATCCGCAAAGAACTTTTGCACCTCAACTTTTGTGACGTCAAATGGAAAATTTCTTATATATATGCACAACTTTTGGCCAGAGGAACCTTCTTTAGAATATTTTTGTGAAACATGTCCAGGCCTCTCTGTCTCTACTGACCCTGGTCTTTTTGTTTCATAATATTCCATTAATTTCAGCACCTTTTTCCTGGAAATTGGATCAATATGAACTGGACGATACTGGACAACAGTCTTATGTAAAGCCAGAGCAGTATAAAAGTCTGACAAAGTCTTGAACATCACCAAGGCATACCGTGTTCTTTTTTCATCTTTATATAAAAATGTAATCTGCTCATTACTCAGTTTAGTATCTCTAAAGAAATTTTTTAAATCTCTCTTCGTAATATTTAGAGACAGATTTTTTAAGTGAACATAATGTCCAACAGGAGAACGAGAACGTGTTCTTCTGGGAGATTTTGAATGAGACCGCTTTCGAGAGTGTCTATCATTAATTCCTCTTGTTGGAGAATGTTCTTCAGTTCTCATAGGAACTTCATCCTCCTTACCACCATACTGAATCCACTGTTGATCTGAGCTTTGCATTACTTCTATAAATCTTGAACCCATAAAACTTCTATGACATTTTAGACCTCCTGAAGCATCAATACATGAAGCAAATTTTACTATGGCATCGCCATTATTTCGGCCATCTTGATGTTTTAAGAAAATTACTCCATCCACACACAAACCAGAGAAAAAAACACGTACATCATCTTCATTTACTAAATAAGGCAAACCCCGCAGAAATAAGTAAGGATTTTTGGCTCTTGCTGGCCGTGTCCTTCTTGGCTTTAAATCATCACGTCCTGTACCATTAGTATGAAACTCAGCATCTTGATATCCAGAATTACTTGCTTCTTCCTTAACAGCATCACCAAAATTAGCAAGGCTACCAGCCCCTAATCCCCCAGATCTTGGTCGCTCTCTTCCTATGCGATCAGTTCTTTTCATTTCTATAGTCTTCTGCATTTCTGCCTTGCTACTGAGAAAGAGCTCTACAGATGAGTCCTTGATAAGTCCTCCTGAACGACTGATGGCACGTCTTGCATCTTCATCTGTTGCAAAAATAATAAAAGCCTCCCCAATTTCCCCTCCAATTATATGCACTCCTCCATCAGGAATAGTCAATCCCTTGAAGAAGTGACGAATATCCGCAGGGCCCGCAATAAAAGGAAGCCCCAGTAAACGGATGACTACAGCCATGCTGAGCTCAAACAACAGCAATAATGACCTGCAGACAAAAAGGTACACATAATAGCAAATCTTATTTTTGAGGTACTTAGCCCAAACTAAGCTTAATAACTATTTCTTTCCTACCTTCTTCAGCATTTATAAATGACAACAAGATATAAATTCTCAAAAAATATTGACTCTAATTCTTAAGAAAGCAAAGAATAAACTTTCTCCCACATAAACATACAAATAAACCAACTACCTTGAAGAAACATTTCCTATCATCTATCCTAAACAGTATAAACATCGAAAATATCAAATCTTCCCTTCTAAGTCTACCAAATGTTGCTTCACAACAAGACCAAGCTATTTTCAGATTCACTGAGCAACATATCTTCTCAGAAACATGAGAGAGATTTGTGGATTAAAGTAGTTTACCAACCATGATGAATTTATGTATTTAGAAAAAACATCTATGGTCAGTATATTAATTTCTGCTCATGATAATAAATTGTCCACCACTAGTGCATCACCGGGCAGACATAAACAGAAGCCATGTATACCTACACGTACTATTCTACTTCACATGTTTTGTTTTTGTCAAGCCTCTGTGAAAAGCTTTAAGCTCTGGATATCTTACCTTTTTTAAAATTTCTTGGAGACCTGTTAATTCTGTAAAATCAACTTAACTGTGGAAAGAAAATGAAATATAATTAATCCTTGGACCCTGTAATTGATCTCAAACAACGCCAGATTAGGACATCCATTTCAGAATTCCTATCAAAAGTGAAGGAATATAAACAACAAAAATAAACCCAAACCAGATGCTGTTGAGCTGATTCCAACTTATGACGTTCCCATGTATTAAGAGTAGAAATGCTCCACAGGATTGTCTTGGTTATAATCTTTATGGATGCAGATCACACTTGGCTTTTCTTCCACAGCACCACTGAGCAGTTTAGTTTCGAATCAACTTTTAAACTTTAGGTTATTAGATGAACACAAACCATTTGCACCACCCAGGGACCAACCAAAGCAATATAAAGAACCATGATTATGGGCATTACAAAATGGTCTACTTTGTTTCAAGAGGAAGTTTTTATCCTTCAGCAAAAAGGTGTAAGAGAAAATGCAAAATCCAAGCAGACATCTGCAAAAAAACAAAAACTTAAAACTTGCTAAAAATAAAAACGATTGCTCCTTAATTAGAAATGCTACAAGGGGTGATGGAAATGTTTCATATTTTGATTTGAATGGTGGTTACATGTGTATATTAATTTATCCAAACTCACTGAATTACATCCTTATAGTTGATGCATTTCATTGTCTACAAATTTTACATCCATTAGAAACAAACTGCAAATGACAATAAAAAACACAAAAAATCTTTCCATTACTTTCACTTTTGAAAACTATACATACATCTAGTTCATACTGATGTCCATTTCTTCTACCATTCTCCTTTTCAAAACGTGAGGACCAGATCAAATATAAAGCGTCCATTCAAAATTACGTAACTAATGAATAAAAACCAACATGTGAAATTCAAAAACCATTTTTAAAACAAATCCAAATCAACAGCTAGGATGTGAAGACAATGTTAAGCTCTGCAAAGAGAGATCACACTTCCAAAAATGGAACCAAATTTCCTTACTCCTTATTGTATTTTAAAAATTAGTCTAGAATTGAGGCAGATTAATAAAATAGTCCTAAAATCAAAGATCTCAACACCACTCCCTGTTTTAAATTCCTAAAACAATTAAACCCAGTTTCTTCAACAAACCAAAATCCACACCAACACTTCAACAAAAACTATACAGTATATATGACCACTGAAAGAGCTGTCCATATTAAAGCTCCAAAACTCCTTCCTGTGCAATTGCCTTAGCAACTTTTTCACTTGTTAAGTATTTCAAAAAGCAGCATTTGGTATAATTTTGACCATCCTAAAGTAATATTTGAAAAATAAAGGACAAATATTTCAAGAAATAAATTATGTCAAATTAAAAAAAAAAAAAAAAACCTCCAAAATTAATTTATCCCAACTTACATCTATCTCTTAATTAAGCAGTACATGAGTACAAATCTCATGAATTCCAATCAGAATATATAAAGTTTGTTCTAAATTGCCACATTTAAATCTAATGCTTACACTTTTTTTGCTCTCTAGACAGTAAGTTTAGGAAGCTTTATTCCTCCACAATTAACACATCTACAAAACCATCTGTAACCAGCTCTCAAAATGAACACTTTTCCTGTGGTTCCCACATACTATTTCCTTAAGCAATTTCCCCAGAAATTAAATTACACATAAAGCCAAACAGCAAAGCCTAAAACACCCCGCATTTAAAACTCTTTCACTTAAGAATGCAACGAAGTATTTTTGACTGTGATTTAAAGACACAATGATCTGCCAGAAGCTATAACCTATGAATAAATAAAAAGGGTCCCTAAAAGTTCATTTTAAGGTTAACTGACTGAAACTAATAAACTCACTTTTAATAATTTTGCTGATTTTACTCATGGATTCATCCCATTTAATGACTATTGTTACTAAACAATATGAAATCTGCATGTTCTAATCATGACTAAAAAGGAAAAAAGGGAAGGAGAGTTAACTATTAGCTCAGATCCATCCAATTTCAACTAGCAAATAAAACATTTTTCAAATATGATAGACGAAAAAAAAATCTTTTACTCCTTGACTGCGACTCTTTGAGGTTTTAAGAAACCCAAAGTTATAATGAAGCACATTCATTTCCTAAACGTGAGTTTCCACTGCAAAAAATAATCTATCCCAGACCACAACTCTTCTTTAAGATCATCTGCCTTTTATAACGTACATAATTAAAATAAAAACCAAAGGCATGACAACACCGAGACATAGTCAGCAATAAACCAAAAAAACCCCACTGGCATAGAGTGGATTCTGACTCATAGCAACCCTGTAAGACAGAGTAGAACTGCCCCATAGTGTTTCCAAGGCTGTAAGTAAATCTTTACGGAAACAGATTGCTTCATCTTTCTCCTGTGGAGCGGGGAGGTGGGTTCGAACCGCTGCCTTTGGGTTAGCAGCCCCATGCTTTGACCGCATCGTCACCAGATCTCCTTAATCCACGTTTGAGAATGATGGATATTATGGGAAATCCTGTACCGTGTGGAATCTGCTTCATTTACAGTTCAAACGCGGATCATCCAAAGCGATTCTATAGCCCAAAGCCTTTGTCCATACTCCCAAGGGTCAGAGCTTTCTTCTTCCGCGCCAGGCCAAACTTGCTACATGGGATCCAATGCCGTCGCCAGGCCTTCAGCCAAAATGAGCCTTCAAATTAACATGGACCACCCAATCCCCGTGCTTTTCTGTTACGCCGTCCCCAGATACACATTCCACCCAAACTCGACAGTGTGAACCGCCCAAAACCCAACTGAAACACTCGCCTCTCTCAAGCCTAAAGAGGCAGGCCTGCAGCGCGTATCTGCCACTACGGATGATGACATAGCAAAGAAAAGAATACCTACGAAATCCTTCGAGATCTTCACTCTCAAGATCATTGGGAAGACCGCGCGCGTAGGCACACACACCACCACATTCAGGCTGAAGGGAGAGTCGGTGTTAGACAAGAAAAAGTGAATGCCCTCACAACAGAAGCTGCGCTAGGTGTGGCGCGGCCGCCGGCCCCGCCTTTCCCTGTTCTCCCGTCCCCTAGCCAATCCCTCCCCACCCCCGACGCCCAAACGGTAATTGCTTCGCACTTGGCATTAAACACACACCACTGCCGTCGAGTTGGACACACAAAGCCTTGGATGGGGGGGCACTCCTCGTCGCAGCAGCCTCCCCAGAACACGAAGAGCCCTCAGTGAGCCGAGAATAAAATGGCGCCCGCTCTCCGCCTCCGGTCCCGACAAACAGACGTACAGTTTGCCCATGCGCTCTCCAAGCATCACTAACCACACTACTGCCTCAGCCACGTCTGCGCATGCGTCGTGTCGCTAAACTGCTTCCGGTTGGTAAGGGAAGCGAGCCCGCTGCCTGGCGAACGCGCCAACCCGCCCCCAATTTATTGAGTTCCCGCGCATGCTCAGATTCCAACTACTCTAGGCGGCTCGACCCGGAAAAGGCGAAATCAAAGACAAGGGGGTCAAGCAGTTGGAGTGCTGGAAGCTTCCATAAGTAACTGTCCAAGTGCACTGGACTAAGTTCTGAAGTTAAGGAAAGAGATGCAAAAACAGAGAAAAGTAGCAATTTCTTTGCTTTTTTAATGTTGTTACCACATGTAAGCATCTTATGAAAAAGCTCTTTGTAAACTAGCTGTAAAAGGTCACAGAAATCATAGTCTTAACCTTACATGTTCGCCAGGCACAAAGACGACACCCAGGGGCTTAATAAATGCTTATTCAGTTTTATAAACATTACTGTAACTTTGGGAGGAAAAGGCTTTATAGATGTGTTGTTCACACCCTCAGGTTTCTTGAAAAGAGATCAGATGAGCTAGTCCTGAAAATTGGGAAGCAAAAAGGAAAATTGCAAGCATGTTCTTTGGTGCCTGCTGTGTAACAGCAAACAGCATTGTATTAGGTTTTATTTTACTATTTGCAAATGACAAAACATCCCATCAAGTTTTATAACTATAAATTTTGAATTTCGCTCTCATTCAAAATACCCATTTGTTAATTTAATTGACTGTCAGGAAGAAGAGGGAGTTAAAAAGAGTACCCAGACTTAACTTGGGCAAATCACTTCACTTCTCTATCCTCAGTTTCCTGGACTGTAAAACAGGGTAATAATAGTACCAACCTCTTAGATTTATGAACAGTTTGAATGAATTAATATATGTAATTATCTCAGACTATAAAAGTATCAGTATTTGGTTTAAATGTCAAGGTGATTCATAGAAATGCAGAAGGGTGTCATCTTGCGGACCTGGGCTTAGTAAATAGCATTAACCCTGATTATTGCCCACAATCCAGGATTTGTTTGGCATTTGGCTTGCACACTCAGGAAACTGATCTTAGAGGCTTTTTTTCAAGTT